CTTCCTATTGGCGGCTTCCTCTTCAAATATGTAAAAGCTCACTTGGAAGTGAAATCAAACCTTCCTATTATTACTTCCTCGTCCCTTCCCTCTTGCCAAGTTCCTCTCACTACTCCCTTGGCCCCGTCCTCGTCACTTGCTAATATTCCTCTTTCTCCCAATTGTGTGAACAACCATATTTTCTATTACCAACATTGACTGATGAGACTGCCCCTTCCCTCCTAATAATACATTTCAATTATGTTAAATTATGCATAACTTTCTTAAACTTTGAATCATATACAAATAATCTCCTTAACCTTTAAAATTTAACAATAAACTTCTTTGAGTTTTCAAGTTTATGTAAATAATTTCTAACCATTAATTATATGCCCTTTTAAACTTTATTTTTGCATACATTTAAATCTCAAATTTTGATTGATATACAGATAGCTCCCTAAAATTTAAATTATATGTAGATAATTAATGTATAAAATTAATCATATAGAGTTATTTGCATAAATATAAGAGTTGAAGGAGGTTTATTATAAAATTTTAAAAGTTAAAGAGGTCATGTGTACATAGTTTAAAATTTAAAAAAATAATGTATAATTTAGCCTTTCAATTATTGATATATAGAAAATCACAATCAAAGATTACTGGAAACAATTAATTGTGCTGCAAGGCCAAATGATTTTGATATTATGATATTATCTTGCAAGACCAAAGGATTTAAATTGAATCAAAATTTGTTGTAAAAAGACAAAATTAAACACACACTCACACTCTCTCTCTCTCTTATAACAACTCCCCATTCAGGAAAAAAAGGTCCCATTTTTTATTTTAACAACAATCATTTTTTATTAATAACTCTAAAAAAATTAATTTAGTAATAGAGAGGAACAAATGTTGTGATTTGATAAATAAATTTTCATTCAAAAAAAAAAAGTCCTATTTTTATTTTAACAACAATCAATTATCTTATCAATAACTTCAAAAAAATTAACTTAATGGTGGGGAGGAACAAGTATTGCAATTTGGTAAACAAGTTTCCATTTGAAAAAAAAAGCAAGTCCCATTTTTATTTTAACAACAATCAATTTTCTTGTTAACAACTTCAAAAAATTAATTGATATGGAGAGGAGCAAGTGCTGTGATTTGGCGAACAAGTCCTCATTCAATACAAAGTAAGTTCCATTTTCATTCTAACAACAATCAATTCTTTAATTAACAAATAAAAAATATTAACTTGGTAGAGATGAGTTTTTGTAATCTAGTGAATAAGTCTTCATTTGAAAAAAATGAGGCTCATTTTTATTTTAACAACAATCAATTCTCCCATCACAACAGATATACATTAGGATAGTTTTATCTTTTCACAACAAATCTTAATTACATTTAAATCCTTTGATCTTGTAGAGTAATATCATAATTACAATTAATTATCATAATTGTGAGTTTTCCTATATTTAATTGTAGTCGTTACTCTTGTGTAATTTGTATTTTACTTTTCAAATTAAATATTTTTTTATATAATATTTTTATTTTATTGAGTTAAAATATACTCCCTCTGTTTAAAAATATAAGATATTTTTAGTCTTTTGAGGTGTACGCATTACCTTTTTTTTCTTCAAAAGTGCCCTTATTGATAATAATTTTATATTTATTATAGGGTGTTTAATAGGGATAAATATGAAAAGATAGGGTTAGTTTGAAATTAGGTAACTACTTTATTAGGGGTGAGGTTTGGTTAAAAATATCTTATATTTTTGAACAGAAGGAATATTAAATTATCATTTAACCCTTAACTCTTAAATCAATATTTTATCTAATAAAGCTTTGATATAAACCAGTAGAATACAGTAACATTTTTAGTTTTGCCAAAATTATAGGGAATAATTTTTTTTTATAAAAGCTAAATTTTGGTCCAATCTTTGAAATTAGTAAATTTATAAAATACTTAATTTTATTACCTAAAATTATGTTAGGAAATTTGAAACTGGTTATTTGCCCTCGATCTAATTGTATGCCTTCTACCCCCAATTTAATGAATTTTAAATAATTATGCAATATTTAAATGGATTTCTTACAAAAAAATACTTAAATTAATAGACATAGACCATATTAATATTCATGAAATTTAAAGTAAAATAAATATAATTTATATTGAACAATTAATTCTCCTCATATTAAGTACCTAATCATTAAGTTTTTTTCTTACATATTTGTTTGAATACTGTCTTAGCCTATTTATGCATTTCAACTTTAAAATATTAAAAAATAAATAAGTTTATGTATCTAAAAAATGATAAGAAAAAGGTTTAAAAATATATGCATTGTTATTATTTTCTTACAACCTAAATAATTTTTACACGATACTTATGTTAAAGAAATGTTATTTAATTCTAAATCTGTTATTTAACAATCAATTACTAGTTGGGTAGATAAAATAGAATTTTGAAAATAGAAAAGGAGGTTTCGATTATGTAACTTTTGATTTCAAGATTTGTGTAGGTTTTAAAAAATAGAAGGTTTATGTAATCAAGATAAAATAAAACTATGTCAATGTTTTTTTACTCTAAAACTAATATTTACTCTAGTGTTTTATATTTATTTTTTATTTTCATTTTTTAAGAGTCTGATTAAACCTCACCCATACATGCAAGCACAAGATTATTACAGCTTCAGAACATTTGTCTTCATCAGCTTCTGCGAGTTCAGCTCCTTGGATCTTGTTAGTGGAAGACAATAATGAATTCCATGTTACAGGGACAGGTGTCAAGTTGCATAGGCATTGTAATGTGCTTACTGTCCGAACAAGAGACGCCTTGAATCTTTGGACGATGCAGATTTCATCTCTCCTGAGCGATCTAAATCAGATCAAGCATCCAATTTTTCTTTTTTTATCATTTTGATCAATCATTTCCGATTGTAATTGAATAGGTGTTACCTCTTCACACTGATGGGGCTAATAATTGAACAGCTGGTATTTCTGTATTCAATTCATCAAGACAAGTAACACCCTCAATTGAGATGCATACTTCATCGAATACGTCAGCTACTGTTTCCGCAGCTGGTTTAACTTCAACTTTCACTAGAGCTTCTTTTACCACTTCATTTGCTGCTTCTCTTCATTGTTACTCTGCGAACTACATCTACATATCGCGTTATGTTTCATTCATGGAGCAGCCGTTGGTCCAGAATGGGTTTGTTCTAGAATCTACACATCATCGTGCAACCTCTCCTGCATCTATCTTGTCGCAAAACAACTTTTCTTTGACTAAGCTCGGGTTCGTTTCAACCATTTTGTCTGCTTCGCATCATCTCAAACGCAAATATACCCTGCTTTTCGAATCAGAAACAGAGTGCGTTTTCTCATCTGGGTTTGGCGGAGTTTCAGCTGAAAAACTCCGTCTTCCTGCATGATCCTTCATGCATTGCAGCCTCATGAAGGTCCATCATCCAGTGCTGCAGCTTTTGGGTTTATGTGCTTTGTCTCTATTGATACTGGTGTCTCAGTCAGCGTTCTGGTCTTTTGATTTCTGTTTGTTTGTTCACTACTATTAGGCAAAAGTTTGTCTGGTTTTGGGTCCTTTCTTGCGCTGTTATAGTTCAAGCAGATAAGTTTTTCTTAATTCCAGAGCATGTCCATCTTTGGATTTACAAATCCTACGGAATGTTCCTCTTAGCTGCATGTTCCAAAATATGCCAATGGGACCCCTTTATGTTTACTGCTGGTTTCGCGTCGTACTTTGTTTCTGACTTTTGTTTTTTTTAACCCGTTGGGTTTTGCTGTGTCGTCAGTTTTGGGCTTTTAGTTTGTTGCTCTAAAGGCCCTTTAGGTTGTGCCTTGTTGATAACATTTGCCTTCATTTAAAAAACAAAAAACGAATGAAGAAACCGAGGGATAGTTTGGACCCACGAAAGCCGAAGTTTGAAGTACTCGTCGCCAATATACCTCTTTCAATGAGGATTGTGATTAGACCTAATCCCCCTTGATTTGACAGGTTTAGTTTTATTTTAACCAAAACATGATAGGCGTGTGAATTTTCTATGTAACTGTGTTGTTATTTAAATTAAATTTTGTTTTTTCAGGTTTAGTTATGCTATATTTTGAGAAATTGATGTTGGATATAAGAATTTGTTTTCAAAAATTTTAATCAGTCATACAAGAAAGAGATAAGGAAACATAAAATTCTTTAAATTTGTTTTAATTATTGATTTGATTACTAAAGTTTAATTTTGCTTGACATGGTCCTTTAAATTTGTCTTAATTATGAATGTAGTCCTTATTAGTTTTGTAATTTTTTTGTATCCTTGTTTACAATTTTATATCCTTTTCTATTTGGTAATTTTTGATAAATTAATAACCTAAATTAACTTTCCTAAATGATAGGAAACATTGCACTGAAGGGGAATAATATATTAAAAATGAGTTGAATTTAAAATTTCAGTCTCTTTCAAATTTATAATTTAAAAATAAAAATACCCTTTCAACTCAATTTATTTTCATAACTTTTCTATGAACTTGTTATCTTAATTTTAAAAGAGTTGTTGTAAATTCTATACAGTGAAATTAACAAAATTAAAACATTTTGTCAATATTATGTTGCCTATTTAAAGACATGTCAAATAATAATTTATTAAAATTTAAATTACAACTCGTGAATTCTTAAAAAATAAATGATCATTATCCAAATACCAATTTATTAATTTTTAACATATAAATATTAAAATTTGCAAGTAAATAAGATTTTAAAAATAATTAAATTTTTTATTTGTAACCCGTTATAGTCCTAAACTTCATAACTCAAACTTACTTTTTTTTTTTCGTTTTGGTCCATAAAAAATTTATGTACAGTACGTGATATGATACATTTTTAATGATTACTCAATGATAATTACTTTATTATATTTTTTATATGAAAAAATTGAAATATGTTTTTATTTCATTTCATTCTACCTACCAAACAGCCCCTTATCATTGCTAAAGGAGCTAAAACTCCCCAAACGTGCTCAAATGATCGAGAAACTTTCTGCATAACACTGATTGTTGCCGTTTGAATTTAAAAGCAAGATGGCTGAAAGCTGTTTACAATAGGGGAAAATTTTCAAAGGCCAAATAGATACACATATAGACATGCCCAAGATTTACCATGGAGAAAGAAAGGATTTACACCCTCAGCATCCGTTATCTCACCTACAATTTATATCCAAAAAAAACTAACTCCTCTTTCTACCTGGGACTTGGGACATAGGGCTCGAAGAGTTTAACACATGGATTTGAATCATACTGAAGAATATTGGCGGCACGTTCAAACTCTTCTCTGATAACCTTGATGCTGGATTTGTCTACCACTCGACCCAGATCATGAGATAATTCAAACGGATCCTCTATGCATATTAGATGCCGATCATTACCAATCCTCCTTGTCCAATCTTTGTCTCGCTTACTAAGGCCAAAAATTAAATACAACACCACAGTAAGTTTGATATAAAGTCTTCCCCAACCCAAATTTTGATTTTTGAACAATTAATGACTTTTCACAACATGATTTGTGACAAGAAAACATTTACATATCCTAACAAAAGCCAGATGGATACGATCATATGCAAGAGAATGGCGTAAACCTTCAAAGTCACACCAAAATTGTACTGGGAAGCCAGGGGTCAACATTTCTACCCCCATCTAAAAACAAAAAAACAAAAAACAAAAAAGAACCCGCAAAATTAAATAGGAAAAATTTATATACTCAATCTTATAAATTTAATATGTTTCTTTCCATTCCAATCAAATCAAGACATCTGAATTTGTTATTTATTACATAATAAATTCTTGTTATTAATATTATCAATACTTTAAAATCTACTCATTCTAATTTGATTAGACAAAAGTATATCAAGCATATAAAGTTAAGTATTCTAGCTTTCTCCAATTACATAAAAGCTAGTGCTGAGGAAAGCAATATTTAAATATTTAAAACTGCATGAATATTAGTCAACAAACAATTACCATGCTAATGTAAAAATAAAAAGGAGAACTACAATCAAGTCCCAAGTAAGTGATTAATTATTTCCTCAGTCCCATTAGCAAGTCAAACTTCAATATTTATAAGTCAAATTTCATAATTTATAAGCGACTGGCACCTATGGATAATTAATTTTCTTATCTAGGACCTATATGTAATTCTCTTAAAACAAACCATCCAACAACCAACCAACAAAAACACAACACCCCACTGTGCTCTTACCTGATTACGTTTCCTGTACGTACAGATATAACAGAGTCCGCATAATCATGGCAGTATGCCCAGTAAAAGAAAAATCCCCACACAAGTTGAGCAATCGTTTCCTTGTTGTGACGTCCAAAATCACGTAGTTTTTCAACTTCATCAAAGTAACCGCATTTAACATCATCCACAGTCACAGAATATGTGGTCTCCATCTCCTAAATGGAAGATAGCAAATTAAAAAAATGCTCCAATGAATTACAAAAATAGCTACAAGAGGCACAAAGCATATGCAACTGATATGGATAGCGTGTTTCATAGTGAAGAGTGGAAGAGACGATCTGTTTAAAAACTGCAAGTACATTAGTCAACAAACTATTGCCATGTTAATGTAAAAATAAAAAGGAGAATTACAATCAAGTCCCAAATAAAGTAATCAATTATTTCCTCAGTCCCATTAGCAAGTAAAACTTCAATATTTATAAGTCAAATTTCATAATTTAGAAGCGACTGGCACCTATAGATAATTAATTTTCTTATCTAGGACCTATATGTAATTCTCTTAAAACAAAACCAAACGGCTCAGTGCAGACTGCAGACTTCATTTTGCTAACAATCTAGTTGAGTTCGGGCCAAAAAAAAAAAAAACAATCTAGTTGGCAATATGATCCTTACCGGTAGACAGAAAGATCCATCTGGCAATTTACTATATACAAAAAATTTTCAACTACTCCCTATCTCAAACTTAAAAGCAGATTTGGCCTCTGACATTTATTCACCACGCACTTTCCTCAAGGAAGTTCAAACCAATGCGACACTATTCCAACTTGCACATGTATTTCTAAATTATTATTCAATAGCTCACTCTCATCAATATCCAAACAGATATGGTATTAAATGTTTATTCATATTTGACATTTCATATATATGGGCCCAAGTATCTTGCTCCTGAAGCCATCTCTGGACTATTGAATTGACACTGAACTAAAAGGAAATCTTTATTTGGATGTTTTCATCCCCTAAACGTTCAATCCAACAGTCCAAGCAATGCCACCTACGATGTCGTACATGCAAAACTGGAAGTACAAGGTGCCCCATAGACTTGGCTAAGAATACAATATCATGTTTGATGCTTCAGTATCATCAACTAACAATCCAGGAATACTTACAGCTGGATAGCCACTAAGGAACATCTGCTTTATTATTAGCAGTTTATCACGTGTGAAAAATATTTAGGGCTTGCTTGATTTTGTTCCCATTTTTTATTTTTTAAAACTACTCTGTAAACTTTTAAAATTGTTTTTCAAAACAAAACAGAAAGAAAAAACCGTTTGATTAAACAAAAAGAAATCAAACAGGCCCTTAGTCTCCAAAAAAATGATTTATTTGAATTAAATTCAGAACACAGTAAAAAGAAAAACATTTAAGGGATTCAGAATAAGTGATAATGGGGGAAAACTTTTGAAGTACTTAATGTACATTACTTTAATAAAACTAAAAGGAAAAAACCATCATTTTTTGAAACATGATTTATTTCAATATTTTTACTAGAACATGTCAACTATGACGTCCATCAATTTTAAATTGCTCTAAGTCAGAGGACATCACATTCCCCAAAATAACATGTCTGAAGTGACAATGAGAAATCATGATATAATGTTCTTTGATTATGGCATGCTACCCGGTATTTTCTTCCATTTAAAGAAATCAAAGAACAGCTTAAGAGAATGGTAAGGGAAAAAAAAAATTGACTTATGTGATGTAATACTATGTACCGTCAAATTAGATCATAATTCCTGCGAACAAAAAGTCTCTGTTATTCCACAAATCACTACATAAGCACTCAATTCCACATGATAACATCAACACCAATAAAGCCTGTGAATAAATGACAATATCTAAACCATGGTGGGTACTCCTAATATGGTAGACCCACGACTTTGATAAACTTAAAAAGCCTTCATGGTGTGTAATCCTAATATGTAAGCAGCACTAACAAAAGACTATTTTATTAAGGCTAGACCCTTACAAATCTGGTGTATGGCAACAGAAGTTAAAAAAAAAAAAAGGAACATACCTGTAAGCAGGGAAGGATAGCAGGTCTCCTCATTTGTAAAAAATGAATGCACATTAAAACATATCTGAAAATTTCCAAAAGTTTGCATCACTTTGTATGCACTTAATTTATTAAATTATATCATTAACCAACTTCCTCTCAATATTTGCAAAGCAACTTAAACTAAATTAAATAAAGGTCAAGTAGAAAATGCTGGAGCTTAGTGCTGGAATAGTATAAAAAAACTACTAACGCATAGCTGGATAAGGTCCCTTGGTAAGTTTCGTTAACTCCTCTTGACTTGGCCCAATGTTTGATGATAAAAGCCAACTGACGTAGCCTTGCATCTATTTGTGCATAATCCTGAAGAAGCTTTGTATTCACAACAGCCAGGAGATTGTTAACACATATGTCACAGGAGATTCCTGTCGCAGGGTCCATGAGCTTAACTATAGGAACCCTGGCACGCGTCAAAGCCTGTTTATTTTATGAAAGAAAAGAATCAATTTCAATTAAAGGGAAATATGCAACCGCAGGCAGCTTCCCTGAAGGAAAGGACCCATACAGAAGAACATTGAATCATATGATAGAAGAAGTATGATCTTACATTTAAATGGACAATTTTGTCTAAACATCAAATGTTCAACAACTAAAGCTATCCATAATATATATAGAAATGCTAGTCACACATCATAAATCAATTACAAGTATTCCCCGAGGGCAAATCTATTAATAACGAAAGTACCAGAAATTGGTAGGTAAGTTGATTTGTTTATCTCACTCTAGACCTGACATATCATATGCAATAGGAGTTGTAAGCCAATTTGCTAACAACCCTCAAAAGAAGCACATGTAAACTGTATATCAAATCCTTAGGTACCTCAAGACAACACCAGGCAAGGGCCTATTTTTCTCTAAGGGGAATCACAAGAAGGTGGAAATATACACAGATGTAAACAAGGTGATACCAAGCAAAGAAAACCAGACGGGTGTAGAAATATATATATATAAATGCTGATCGGGCACAGCCAATTGATGATAGATGCTCAACCATAAGATACTGTGCTTATGTCTGGGGTAATCTTGTAAAATGGAGGAGCAAGAAGTAGCCATTCGTGTCTAGAAGCTCTGCAAAAGCTGAATACAAAGCATTGGCACTTGGAATCTATGAAGGAATGTGGATTAAGTGCCTGTTCAAAGAACCTAGGTTAGAATTGGATGCTCCAATCAAGATGGGGTGTGATAGCATGGTTACACTCAAGATTGCCAATAATCCAGATCAGCATGATCGCACCAAGCATGTTGAAATTGACAGACATTTTACTAAAGAAAGGATCGAAGCCAAGGTGATAGACTTGTCGTACGTCCCATATGGGAAGAAAGCTGCTGATATGATGACTAATCCTCTTATCAGAGGTAAGTTTGATGATTTTATAAGCAAGCTGGGAATGGTCAATATCTATTCACCAGTTTGAGGAGGAGTGTCGGAAGTGGGTTTAGGTTTGCTAGGCCCATCTAGTTTCTCTATATATGACTGTATCATAATATTCTGTAATTACTTAACAGATTGCAGAGTATTTCCTTTAATTTTGTTTTTTACTCTGTCAATCATTGAGAGAGGATTTCGAGGGATTATATTCTCTCCTCAGCCCTGCATGTATTGATTTATTCAAAGAAATAATATACAAACAAATTAGCACTGAAAATTCTCAAAATGAAAAACCAGGCTACCCAAAATTAACAAAGATCATTTAAAACAAATGTACAAATGAAGTATAAACTATGCTGAATGTTCAGCACACCTCGATGTCCAGTTATATAAGCATGTAGCATTTTCCCACCTTGACATCACGAGAATAACCTATAAAAAGACTACACAGATGTTGAATGAAATTAACTTAAATATACTAGTTGAGTAGTTGGCTAAGCATGTCAACCAATGTGATTAAACAAACTTGAATGTCTCAGAAAGGACAAAATGACCGCATGTGTGCATATCTTCAAAAATGTAAGACTTAATTTTTAACATCTAAGACAAAAGTCAAATCCATTGAATTACCATATGCAAATTTCCAAGTAAGCATGTGCGCAGGTGCATATCCTAAGATAATGCACAATTTTTGACTCTTTCTTGAACTATATCTTTATAAACTCCAGACTCAGAATAAATGTATTCAAGTCTTCTCACCTGCACATTCTGTAGATTATCTGATTTTAAAATATCAGCCAACTTCAATAAAATCTCAGATTTGTCCATGTCTGTTTCCTCAATGGCAAGGCAAACATCAACGTCACTTTTACAAACACCAAATGAATTAGCACATGATCCATAGAGATAAAGCTGAGCTTTTGGCCATTCCTTACAAACTAGTTTCTCCAGTAAAGCTAGTAATTGTTTCTGCTTGGCCTTTTCTTCTTCAGGAGGTATTAACGAATCATAAAGTGCAAGGAGGGGAGCATTGAGATTATTTATGTCACTTCGGCACGTCATCAGTCTTTTATACATTCTCACCCGCTGGCTTAGGAGCTTTTGTCCCCTTGAGTCCGATCTGACATCCTGATGATAAAAGATGTGGATTATGATAATAATACTTTAACATTTCATTGCAATCATATCAGTAATAGTTATCATCCACATACTTGAACATACTACTCAATTTACATTAATATTAATGATACTAACCTACATCATATTGACCTCGTGCAAACCAACAGGTGCCTAACTAGGAAGGTCAGCAATCTAAGATTTTATATGTCCATAAATATTTCCATAAAGATGTTTGAAATAAGAAATAATAGATTCTCAAAGTCTTTACCTAAGATCCCATCCACAATTCTGTTCTTTAGAATCATGACAGTTCATAATCTATAAACCATATCCATAACTACTACCAAAAAATGCAAAAGCAAACACATTGATGTAAAGCAAAATCAACAGAAATTAAAGTACCAACCTTTTCACGAGTGCGGCGCTGCCTTGAGACTGAGGTATTCTTGTCTTCAGATTCACCCTCATTCAACAAGGATTCAACCAATTGCTCACCGAAACCACTGCCAGAGTCAGTAATATCCTCCTTGGACACACCCACTCCATGATATTTATCTCCAACCCTATCTAAGACAATTTTACTCTGGAAATTGTTTCTAACCTCTTCAATGTCCGATCCTGAGACTGAATGAAGGTTGCTGCCGGAGGGTGGCCCCGGCCGATCTAGCTGTTCAGGAAGGCCCACTTCACTAGATTTATTGCCTCGGCTGTTACTTCTTTCTGATAACAGTTTTCCCACTCGTTCCTTCTCAGCGGTCACATTCTCGTATTCCCCACCCAATGAACCAGAATTAGCAGCCTCCCAACCGTCATGAATATCTGAACCCCTTCTTCTAGACCCAGAGACCCAATAGCCTCTTCCTTTGGGCTTGTTTGAAAAACCTGATGGCGACTGCCTTGTTTCAGGCCTGTAGTTTCCACCTTGATAGTTATTTCCCCGGCCACACCCTCTTCGGTCCAGGTCACGGCCATCATGATGTGGATTCCCAACCACATTCACACTTGAATTCGTATTAGAAGTCGCCTTGGGATCCAAATGGAAATTTCTATCTAACCCATTATAGCTTCTGCTCAATCCCGCTTCCCGCCCAGTGCCAACATTGAACACCAAATTGAGCAAAGAATCCCCATCGGACGATACTTCCCTACCCAAAACATCACTTGGTAACGAACCAAACTTCAGCTTATGTTCCTGCTGCTTCTGCTGCTGAACAAAAGCATCAATCCGATTACCTGCAGAAGGATCAACTGGAAACCCTAATCTTATTAGATCATCGCCATGGGTGACTCCAATGTTCCCCACAGGAATTGGATCCCCAGGGAAGTGATCCACGGGGAGCCGAGGAGGAGGGAACAGGTTGTGGGGCAACCCGAAGAAATTTGGCGGGTAATGAGGAGAGATTGTGTGAGGCCAAGACGGAAGATGATGTTGGGGATCACGCCCGTTACTCGGCCACGGTGGCATGATGGGGATCGTAGGTCCTATGGCTGCCACGGCGGGATCAAGCGTCAGTGATTGTTGCTGGTGCTCGAGTGACGGCGGTGGCGCCGTCAGTGGTGGTTGCAGTGGAGGTTGCGGGTGATTGGGGGACCTCTGGAGAAGAGAGAGAAGAAACTCTCCGCCATTGTCTGCCGGCGGCAGCGGTGCGTCTCCACCGCCGGTCATCCCAAATGATGTACTGGAAGTTTCACTAAGCTAGTGAAAGAAGCACCCGAAGAAAACATGGTGTTATCTTTTACGAGTGTTTCACTGGGGGAAAAAAATCCTGCGTGCCAATTTTCTTGTTTTTTGGGCCAACATTTGTGTATCGTGTCTAATCACCATGTTTCTACATACATAAGCTCATTAGCCCCCGGCAATTGACCCAATTCTAGTCTTAAGTCAGGTTTGAATAGCACTTTTAAACTTTAAATACGTGAAATTTATAAAAAGTGAAAAATCATACTTTTTGCAAAAGTACGTCTAAAAACTGAAAAATAAATTGACACATATTTTCTTTATTAAAAAATATAGAACATTTTTTATAAGGTTAAATTTTAAAAAATATAAAATATTTTTAATTTAATTTTTAGTATGCAATTAATGATTTTTTTTCAAAACTATCATTAATAAATGTATCACCCAGTCATTTTCATTTAATTTAGACACCTATTAAATATGAGCAAATATAAAAAGATGGTACTCCCTTCATTTCTATTCGTAGGATAAAATATCATTTTTTACTTATTTTTTATATAAATAAAATTACATATTTCAATAAGCATTAATTACACATTTTTTAAATTATCTCTTATAATTTATATTAATAAAAAATAATTAATACATACTTATATTGATTAAGGTAGGGCATTTTAGTTCAATTTTTCTATTTTCAGGTATAATTATTATTGTTAATCAATTTTTTTAAACTATATGATAGAGTTTTTCCTCTTATATACAAAAATAGAAGGAGTATTAATTTAAAAACAATTAAGTAACTTATTGGATGTGTAATTTGATTAAAAGTATCTTATATTTTTTAACATAAGAAATCATTACTATGAAATTTTATCACTTCTTTCATTTTGAAAATATATTAATTCATCCATCCACTCAAAGAAATATTTATCCTAATTTAATACTAATATTGCACATAAATGTTAATTTAGCTGGGAGAAGTCTATTGGAGATATTTTTTTATTATGAGGGGAGCCTGCTTTTTATATCTAGAAAGAAAGAAAGACAGGGATGGTATAAGAGGAATTTTGCTCTCAACTCCCTTGTTTGATTTTAAAAAATTTCTAATTTTTTAAGCAAACCTAAAAAATTCAGGGGAGAATTTCAAATAAGGATTAGGGATATGACATAATTACTGGTTGGTTTCAAAAAATTCTAAAATTTCAGTTTAGTTTAAGGGAATAAAAGTGAAAATAAGCTTAATTGTGCAAAGATCAAAGTATCATTCACTTGTTATGTAGAATCATTAATTGTTAATTTTCTTACTTTACTTATTAATTTACCAATATTACTTATAAATTACATCCCTTTGTCAGGGAAGCAGTAACATCAATTATTAGTTTGCTAACTTTACCTGCTAACTTAACAGTTGTAAATTATTGACAGGTCTTGTAATAAATTAACAAATAAAGTTAGTAATTTAATAATTGATGTTGCTACTTGTGATTGAACAATTGATGTTAAGCCTTATATAATTATTGATATATTAACTCATGTAATTTATAATTCATATTAGTAAATTAATAAGTGAAGTAAGAAAATTAATAACCAGTAATTTTGCATAACAAGTGAATGGTACTTTAATCTTTTCACAATTAAAATTATTTTCACTTTTATCCTCCTAAACTCAACTGAAATTTCATAATTTTTTAGAGCCTACTAATAATTATGTCACATCCTTGATCTTTATTTAAAATTCTCCCAAAATTTAAAGTTAAGCCCTCCTAAGTCCTAATCCCCCATAAAAAACAAGTTATGTTTGGCATCATTAAATTGACAATATAAAAATGAAATCAAAGAGGGAATTCTAATTTAAGCATGTTTGATATGTAGGAATTGTAATTCTTAAGAATCATGATATTACCAAAAATGTTAGAATCCAATTATATCATAATGATCATAAAATTATTTTAATTCCCTTGAATTCATTCGATAGACCCCACTATCTTCAACTTTCTTGTCCACTTATAATAAGGGAGGTCTTTTTAATTTTGAGAAGAAGGACAATTTGATCTTTTCCTATTTTAAATACATATATTAATTAAAATTATATTAGGATTTCATTTTCATATCAAACACACTTTTAAAATTTAATTATATTCCAATCTCAATTCTATCAAAAACTTTTCAATCATACCAAATGAGGCCTTAAGGAATTTGGAGAGATGTGTTATACTTTTTATTTTTTATGATATGCTGACTAAAATTCTCCTCCCTAAAGTATTTTTAAAAAATCATTTATTGTCCTATCTTTACACTATCTAGTATTAGAACATTTTCTAAAATTTGTTTTCTATTATCCATTCTAAAAAATAAAAAAAATTTAAAGTTATTTTGAAAAACTAAAAAACCATAATATATTTTTTTATATTTTGTTGCCTTTTGTTCTTGAAAACTAGATAAAAAGTAAAAAAAAATCATATTTTTATTAATGACAATTATATTAATAAAATAAATAATTTTCACCCTTTATTTCGTAGCTTTATATATATTTTTATAATATTAATTTAAATATATTTCTTTATTTTTTATTTCCAAAACTTGTTATAAAAAAATCATTCTGTAAAATTGTTTTATGAACATGAAAACATAAAACAGGGGGAAAAAAAGCAAGCCCTAAGTTTCAATCTCATATGCTCCTCCATTCACTGCCTGCTCCATCATTAGTTCGCTATCCCGTAGGTTTGTATTATTTGCCTCCCTCCCTCTCTCCCTCTCTACCCATTGCTATGTTTCTCTTTGATTTGCGCTATGATATTGGGATAATTTTAATATAGGATCAGGAAAGAAAGTTATTTACTAATAAGGCCTAAAAAGTCTGAAAATACTCTACAAGAATTTTGGTATGAAATGAAATAAAAGTGGTACCCGAAATGATCGAAATATCCTTTTGCAAGGTTTTTTTTCTTTTCCTGCACTCTTCTCGTCAACCTTCATTCTCCTCCTCGTTCTTTTCCATTTCACTCTTCCTTTCCTCACTCTATCCACCTTCTCTCCCCTTCCTCCCTCACTATCATGGATCATGCCCTCCAAGCCCTTCTCACTGTCATTGTTAACTTCTTCATCGTCACCTTCATGTTTGCAATGACTTCCTTCATTAACCTTAACTGACTCCAATAACTAATAATCCTTAACCATAATGAAAGTAATAATGATAAAAAATTGTTGCACCAAAAAACGCGACACGAACGGTGTGAGAGAGCGGAGGTTTTAGCGTTCAGGGCTGGAATTGAATAAACGGGATTCATCACCAAAATTTTGAGAAAAATCTTAAAAACCCATTTAAAGGAGGTAAGGATGGTCTGCAAAATCAAAAAATAGGTTCGGGAGTCAATTGAGTGTGGGAAAGATGTTAGGCACTCCACAACACCCGTTCATAAGAACGATTACCTGAAATTTGTTACGCTAATTTGATATGATTTTAAAGTTATTTTAATTATCCCTTTCTTATTCACATGTTTGATATAAAAATAATAATAATTAAGTGCAATATTTTTTTATTTACAAGAGACGACTTGACTTAAAATCAGACTCTAAAGCCTACATACCCTGTGATGGAAATCAAAATTCATGTAGTTTGTAGTATAAATTGTTGGTGAAAATATTTTTTGAAAAAAATTAATTAAAAATAATTTACTATTTTGCAAATAAAATAATTTTCTGAACTTTGATATGTGTGTGATAAATTGCAAAAAATTAATTTTATTTTAATTATTTTCTTAATTTTTGAAATAAAGAAAAGAAAAGGGTTTAAAATTATTTTTTTTACATTTTTATTATTAAAAATTTAACTACTATACTTGCAGAGCCTTATTGGCTCATACGACAATACAATTGTTTTTAATATCTGTGGAGATTTTGAAATCTTACACAATGAAAGAGTTTAGAAACTTAATTTATTTACTTAAATTTTTAAATATATATATATATATATTTTAAGCATGTATATATATTTTTTAATTCTTAGTCATCATACCTGCAAAGTTTTATTGACTTATACGATAATATGATTATTCTAAATATTTGTGAAGATTCAAAATTCTCACATAATAAGGGATTAAATAATATACATTTAACTATATTTTTAATTTAATTGATTTATTATGTATGTATATAATATACATATTTTCTTAAAAACTTAATTGTTATATCTGCAGAGTTTTAGTAACTCATAGGATAATACAATTATCTTAGAAGTCTATGAAGATTCAAAAACCTCATGTGACTAAAAGATATAATCGGTAAATGTGATTATAATTTAAACACATTAATTTGATTAACTAATTTTTCTAAATTGTGTATTATATCATTATTTACAAAATTTATTTATTTATTATAGAAATTGAGAGTCCTGACATCTGGGAGGATTTATTATCCCACACGATGATGTAATTAATTTAAGTCTCTACAAAGATTCTTGAAATCTCAGATGAGACTTAAATAAATTATTAATTTAGATTATAAAAAAGAGAGTTAATTTTAATGATGAGCTTTTGAAACCCATATTAGCATATAAGTTTTACTCTTATATCTGTGAAACCTTATTAACTCACATGATACGAGATCATTCTTAGTGCTTACGGAAACTCTTAAAATCTCACATGACAAAATTTAAAAATGATAATTATGTTTACCATTCGGGCACAAAGGGATGCACATATTTAAAGATAATTCATTTGAACATAAAATTCGTGGAAGCAACAAATGGGGGTGAACCATTTCTTTTTTTTTCTTTTTTTAACTTGGTCATAATTTTAGATATTTGGCTTGATGTTTTAAAGATACTCAAAAGGAAGAAAAATAAATAAACAAAGCGGCAACATTCTTCCTTTAAAACAACAATCATATAAACCATGTAAGTAGCCACTGCATAACTCCCCAATAATACTAATTTTTTTGAAAAACGATAAATACCAAATCAAAATCTCATCCTGAAATTAAATTACATATAAGTTAACTTCTACTAATAATAGGCCTTTTAGAAACAAAAATCATGATGTAGATATTGCAAGCCCCATTTGATTCAGTTAAAGTGAATATAAAGAACTTTGTCAAGTAATATTATAAAAACTTGAGGGAGTTG